TAGGGAGGAGAGCCTGCCAGAGTTGCAGCCTGGAGGCCTCTCAGGACCCCGGGGAAACAACCACAGAGAAATGAGGCAGACAGTGCTCCAAAACAGCCTTCAGTGCCAGTGCCCAGCAGGGTGGGGCAGACCCTCGGCTGGCCGTTTTCATGGTTTCTTCCATGTCTCCTGGGCCCCCGGCCGTCCTTGGTAGATGGGTTTTGCAGCAGGACGGCCCCATCTCCTGTGCATCTGCGGGGATTAAGTGTACAGGAAAATGCATGCGAGCGCTTAGCCTTGAGCTGGCCAGAACGGTGCTCAATAAATGTACGAATGACAGGTGTCAGGGCTGTCTGGGTGTCCCTGGGCGGGTGGCCTTGTGCGTCTACAAGGCCGAAGAGCACAGGCTTCATGTCCAGCGGCTGGCCAGGCTGCAACAAGACCTGAGCACAGCAGCTGGAGGAAGCAGGAGCGCTCTGTGGCCCCTCCACGCCCCTCACCCCTCTGACCCACAGCTCCTTCCCTCAGCTTCATCAGAACCTCCCCGATCTTCCCCAGCACAGAAATTCTCCAGAAGCTCTTTGGGGGGCCGCGGTGGGATTGGGTGTACATCCACCACCTTTAAGGGACAGGGTTTTCCTGAAGAGGCTGAGAGGCTGAGAGCCATGACGCGGCAAAAGGAACCCGCTAGAGGCCGGGGGGAGCCAGTGGGGGCTGGCTGCTGACAGAGGGCACCTCTGCATCACCTATTTGCATGCGGTAAAAATATCTCAGGGAGCGCAATCACAGGCCACCAAGGGGCTGATTAGCGGTGTCTGCAGGGGACAGGAGGAGGGAGGGCTGGAAGACTCAGGCTGGGGCCCCTGGAGGGAGCAAGCCTGTCTGCAATGAAGAGGCCCAGAACCCAGCAGAAGGCATGCGGGAGAGGGGCCCTCCTGATCTCTGGGCCTGCTTGGGGGTGCTGGAAGGCCCCAAGGATACCTGTGGACCCTCCCTCACCCAGACAAGCACCCTTCCAGTCACAGGGAAGGAAGAGCTCCGTCTCACTCTCAGCCAGGCCTCAAACTCTCAGCCCCTTGGTGACAAATGCCTTGCAGCTATGGCCAGGTGAAAGGCCCGAGGCTGAGGACCTGCCGGAGCCCACGGGCAGTGGGTGGGGTGGGTAAGCAGACTGCTCTTGGCACAGGTCGGCCCAGCCTGTGGATGACAAGGCGGCGCTGACGAAGCATGCCTGACTCTGGCAAACACGTGCTCAGGGTGGCTGAACGCCAAGTGCCAATAAATCTGCCCAGGCAGCGGCCACAGCACCGGTAGGTAGGGCTTCTTCCTTGCCCCGCATCCAGGAGGATTTCTCATCACCCTACTGCTAAGTGTGACAAGTGCCGGAGGGAAAGGATGGCATGGGGTGGGGCGCGCAAGGGGACATGGTAGGTGCCTGCCACCTGCAGATGAGGGGGGGCAGCTTACACCTCTAAACCCTGGCTAGCTGAGGGGCTCTGCTGCTGTGGACAAAAGGTAGGCACTATTCCCAAGGTCGTGACCTCCCAATCCAAAGTGGGGGGTGGGGAGGGGCTGGGTTCAGGACCTGCTTTCCCTTTTATAGGTGTCTTTTCCTCCCCGTCACCCAGTCTCACAGGAGCGTGAGCTAAGCAGATGCAGACTGTCTCTAGACGAGGAAACTGAGGCACGGGAAGTCAGTAAGTGATAGGAGGGCAGGACTGAAACCAGGGTTTAGTTTGCTCCTCTGCAAGGGAGGAAAGGAGGCTCTGAAGAGGGCTCTGGGGCATGAAGCCCCCTGCCACCTGCAGCCCAGGGCGTGGGAAGTGCTGCAGGAGTCCCTGGCCACTGTGTTCTCTCCACCACTTCTTTCTTTATTTTTTGAGAGTTTTTTTTTATTTTTGGTTGTTATTTTTTTTTTTTTTTTTTTTGTATAGGGCAGCATGCGCTTGCCAGAAAGACAGAAAAAGACAAAGACAGAAAGTGAGAAATCACCCCCCAGGGGGGATGGCCACACCACAATCCCTTCTCCTCCATTCTCTTCTCGGGATCTTGGGCACGCACGCACACGTGCCTGGCGTGAGTTTAAGCCACTGGGTCCAGGACTTGAACCGCGGTCGACTGCATGGGAGTCCAGCGACATAGACATTATGCCAACTGCTGGTCCCATCTCCACTACTTCTTTCTTGAGCTCCAGACGCTCTCCTCGAAGTATCTGACACTCAGGTGAGGGGTTGGTCGTAGGCAAGGAGATATAGGGCCACCAGGGACCAGAGGGGGTTCCTGGTCCCTGGCTCCCCGGAAGTGGCCATAAATACAGCACTTGAAAGTCTGGCACGGGCCAGGTCTTCCATTCGAATCACCACCGTTTCACGCTTGCACACCTCGAAGGGTAAGTGCATTCCCATCGCCAGTATTCAGACACCAAGGTTCGGGGCGGGGTGGTGGTTGTCCAGGGTCCCACAGCTGGTCTGGGCTAGGACCGACCTGGAAGGACTGCCCAACATTGTTTGAACTGTTTCTTAAGTATCACCAACTCTTCTTGGCCTGAGACTGGGGACAATGGGCTCTGGCCCTTGTCAGGAATAGTGCCCAGCACGGCACTGAGGGAGGGCTTCTGAGCCTCCCCACACCCACTACCTCGATCTGGGTCTGGGCACTGGGCCATATCAGCCCTCCCCAAGGACTG